ATTCAGCCCTGGGGTTTTGGGCTCTGGGGTTTCGACGGCTTGTTCGTAGATTCCGAATTGCGGCCTCCTGGGGCGGCGGGGTGGTGCTCGGGCCCTGGGTTCCAGGCCGGCGATGGTCCCCGCGCTGGATTTGTTGACTGAATCCTGTGCCCGTGCTTGTCCAACACTGTGTGTATGTTCCCAACGGCTTGGAGGAGTGGCTCCTTCAGGGCCGTGGGGGTCTGCTCGTGCCTGCTTACGTTTGCCCTGCCTCTCATCTGCACAATGCTGTATGCTTGAAAGGTTAGCGTTGGATTAACTGATTTGGGCCGCACTCCGTCGGAGACAACATTGAACACCAATTTGTGCGCCTGCTTGGGGCCTTGTTTTCTCGACTTGGTGCTAAAGGCTGGGGTAGATAGTTCTTGTCTTTGTTCATCTATATAAATCCACAGTTTCTAGGTGATAGAACCGATTTTTTAGGAGTGCACAGCAGCTGGACTACGCTATAGCTTAGGATGGATGATTCTGATGTGTGAAATTACGAATGTATATGTGTCCTGCTTGTTAAATTTTCTATGTTGTCAAGCGTAGCCACTTCTGGGATCGAATAATACGGATGCAGGTTTTTAGTATCTATATTGTACAAGGTATTTAAAATAACCATGTTCATTGAAAAATGTGTTTTTGAGTGATGCTTGAGATAGGATGGAAACTCAAGTTAATTGCCAGAGACAGAGCCTCATAATTCAGATGTGACTTTGTTGTTTGTTAGCTGCTTGGTGTGAGCATTTAAATGTGTTACATCTGCTACTCCCTTGGCAAAGAAGGTCTGTGATGGTCTGCATGTGCTAGTGCCACTAAGCATCCTATTTAAGTTTAACCGTAGGCTGTACATCCATGAATTTTTTAGTTTGGCTTTGTATTTTTATGCATTTAGCCTCCACTGAATCTCCGAGTTCCAGTTTGATTCTTTCCCTGCACCTGTTTATCCATTTGAAACATATCTGTATTTATAGTCCTAAGACCAGTTCAATACCTCTTCTTTAAAGTTCTAGATGAACCAGATCTTACTGATACCAATTCCTTCTTCTTTTTACCCTTTAAACCATTGCTTTAACTTGTCATGGTTGCTGCTCTAATTTTATTGCAAATTGCACTGAATATGCTCATACTCAAAAGTTGCCTTGCTTGCTGCATTTGACTAAAGCAGGGTTCTTTGGTGGCTTGTATTTTGGTGTGTTTTCTTATGTTAATTATCTTTAATCTGGAAACATTTATTTACGGCGCTGCTATCTACACAGTTCACCTGGAGCAAAGAAAGGTCGATCACCTTCACCCGCCCTCAAAAAAGGGTCACCATCAAGGAAAGGCCGCTCATCATCTCCCCCACCGAAGAAAGCTTCACCTCCTAGGTACAAGCTTGCAGAGGATCTGTATATTTTATATTTTTTCTACCCGCACTGCATTGATGCTTGTTCATATAAGCATATGCCACTTGAACTTTTTATCATTTTGTCTCCCACAGAATAGCTACTCAACATAAAAATTGGTATTTAATTGATGCATTTTCGGATGACAACTACCATGCCTGTCCGGTGCCCATTATTTTTTAGCTTCTCCAGTTCCTTTATGTTAGCATGATATAACTACTGTTGGTGCCTTGGTTGCATTACTGACCTTGTTGTTTCTGTCTCTCGTAGTTAGATATAGTGAGAATGTATTGTGCTCTCTTGTTATGCATGTAACATACTCCCTCCGTCCGGAAATACTTGTCATCAAAATGGATAAAAGGGAATGTATCTAGACGTATTTTAGTTCTAGATACATCTCTTTCTATCCATTTTGGTGACAAGTATTTTCGGACGGAGGGAGTACTTACCAAATTGGTGCTACTTGTTTCAGGAAAGCATCTCCTCCTCCTCAGTCGGTTGTACTACATGTTGATCATCTATCCCGAAATGTGAATGAGGCTCATTTGAAGGAGATATTTGGTGAGTTTATCTTCGTGTTCCATGATCTTGTATCTTAATTTCTCGAAGGTTTAGTTGTGCAACTTTTATCGACAACTTATGTTCTTCTGTGGATCGGGCATGAAAGTGATTGATCTTAACTTAGCTTGATGTTTAACTTATTTGGTAAAATTTTGAGATACTTCTGTACTTGCTAGAGGTAACATCGTCATTAATCAATTTCATCGGAGTGGTAGGCTAGGGGCTCTCATGTTTGAAGTTGAAATTGTAAGCATCGTGCATGCCCTTATGCCAGTATTCAGATGGAGATTATGGAACAGAACTATTATTGCTTTGTTCTAAGTCCTGTTCATGACAGCAATTTTGAGGGTTGCAGAAAGCATTGGAACAATGATCTGTTTTCCGATTACTATGTTACACAGTATAATGAGCTAACCATCCTTGGTACTCCCTCCGGTCCTTTTTATTTCACATATAAGATTTGTCTGAAGTCAAGCCTCGTAAAGTTTGACCAACTTCATAGAAAAAAAATATCAACATTCACAATGTGAAATCAATACCTGTTTATGCATCAGGACTTAAAGTTTCATATTGTATAACTTTAGCATGATAGATGTTAATATGTTTTCATATAAATATGGTCAAAGTTTGAGAAGTTTGACCTCAGACAATTCTTATATGCAGAGTAAAAAGGACCGGAGGGAGTATAACACACATAGTATAATGAGCTAACCATCCTTAATTTGCAGGAAATTTTGGTGAAGTGGTGAATGTGGAGCTATCAATGGACAAATTTGTAAGAAGTGTTGCATTGGTATTATCTGATAAAGCTTCTCCCGTCTCTTGACATCTATTCTGAGCTTTTTAATATATATAGGTTAATCTCCCTCGTGGGTATGGATACATCGAGTTCAAGAAGAGGACTGATGCTGAGAAGGCTCTTCTTTACATGGATGGTGTATGCCTTCTGCCTTATTTTGATATGCTTTCTGCCGTATGTTTTTTATTTTTCTTATGCAAATATGACAAAAAGAAACTTCATATCTTCTCAGGGTCAAATTGATGGAAATGTTGTCAAGTTGAAGTTCACACTGCCACCACGCCAAAGGGCTTCTTCACCTTTAAAGCCACCTCCTCCTCCCCCCAAAAGAGATGCTCCTCCGAATGATAAAGTTGCTATTGGTGCTGAAAAGGATGCTCAGCAGCGGCCTGGGGGATGTAAGTGTCTGAAGCTTTATATAGCTTATAGGTTATTCAGGGCCTACTATAATGGGCATTTCTCTGTGATCTGGTTGTTTAATAAGCATTGCCCCCATCTAGGATAATTTCTAGGTGGATATTTTGCCTTTTTTATTGATGATCCAATCCTGTTTCATTTGCCAGCAGCATCTCCACGAAAGAAGCCAGCTTCTCCGCCGCGAAAGAGGTCTCCTCCAAATAGAAGGGCTGAGTCACCCCGGCGTCCACCCAATCCATCTCCAAGGCGTCGTGCTGATTCTCCTATTCGTCGTCGACCAGATCTTTCCCCTGTTAGGCGTGGTGATAGAAGACCAGGATCTCCAATTAGAAGACGTTCTCCTTCACCTAGAAGGCATAGGTCACCAATGCGGTGAGTTTTCTAAACTGCCATTCTTGTATCTAGGGTATTGTAATGCTGATAAATTGCTGACAACTGGTCTTGCAACTGTCACCTTAGGAGGGGTCGTGGCAGCTTATCACCGCGCAGACGCTCCCCGGGGCCTCCTAGGCGCTCACCTGGGCCTCCCAGACGGCGGTAAGTCACTTTGAGCTTGTGCTGTCGATCACTTCTGTACAACTAGCCTGACTATCTTATATACTCAGTCCTCTGTATGATATATTTTACACTGGCTTGATGTGTTAAATGTTTTGGGTATTGCTTCTCATTCATTCCTGTGTGTAACTCTGTCCATCTATTCCATGTTTGTACAATTGTAATTGACTATATGATTTTGCTGTACATTTTGATGAGCAGTCTCTATGTGCCAATTGGTTAAACTCCATGTGCGAAGATAGCTTGGGTTTTCTGTGTTGGTCTATTGGGTTCTGTGTTGTGTTGATAGGATGTTCTTCTATATCAGTTTTTTCAACTACATTAATTGTATTGGTTCTTGCTTTTGGAAGCAGATCACCACCACCAAGGAGGTTGAGGAGTCCTCCAAGAAGGCCACCACCACCACCTCCGCGTCGTCACAGCCGCTCCCCTCCTCCTCGCCGCCCTCTTCACTCCCGCTCCAGATCAATTTCTCCACGCAGGTAATGGCATTCTGCCTTGCAAATCTTCCAATGGAGCTCATCTCTTTGTTCAGCTTCCAAAATGATATTCCTGGAGTCTTCCTAATTCTCTTTGTGGTAGCAGGGGCCGGGGACCACCATTGAGGCGTGGAAGGTCAGATTCATCCTATTCTGCATCACCCAGTCCTCCAAGAAAGGTGAGCGCAACATCTCAGTGGTTTCTGTTGCCTCCCGTAGAAAACAGTACTTGAATGTTTGGTTCTGTTATTTTGGTCCTTGTACGTAGTACTAATATAAGACGTTAAATTCTGATAACTTTCTTCTACAGGGACCGAGAAGGGTGTCAAGGAGCCGCAGCCCTAGAAGGTATGCGACGGTTTTAAATCATGTGGTGTTTTGCATTATTTCCACATATTGAAACTGAATTGCTACTAGCTTATATTTGTAAAACTAAAAAAAAATGACATGTCTCTCAGGCCTCCCAGAGGAAGGAGTGGCTCTAGCGACAGCGGGAGCAGCAGCTCTTCCCCAACCCCAAGGCGCAGGTAGAAAGAAACTCGTGACCCGTGTTGTTCCTGGCAGGTAAAAAACTTTCTCTTCTCTCTCGACTATCACTATGGATTGCGTCTGCATGTATCTTGCTGTGAGCTCAAGTCAAGAGGTGATCGATCTGAGGCCGGACGATGAGGTGCTCGACATGCCTGGCAGAGTCCCTGGCATTTGTACTCACAAGAGATAGACTGTATGACGATGACTTGTGTTGATGATTTGCCTGTACCGGAAGTACTTTTTTATAATTCTGCGGTTGTTCGTCAACTATGAATCTGGATATTATTCTGTTTTTCACTCCTGAGAATTAATTAATGAGCTGTTTACTGGTTGATGGATTGGTTTGTGCTGCGTTGCTTTGTCAAATTGATTTCTTTAAATGTCGGCTGATTGTTTTGCATTTTGAACGTGCTTGGATGAATACCTGTTGCTTTGGCACGTCTGTCTCTATGAGCCCTTTTTAGTTTGGTGCCTGACCCTGGCATTAGTTGTCCTGATCGAGCAACTGACACTAAACCTTGTCTGGCCACTTGCTCGGCTACTCGTAACTATTGAAAGGATGTTAGGCTCTCTTGATAGTGGATGAAAGGATGTTGTTTTGAGGCCATCTCATAACACAAAACTGCAAAAGAGTGGTGTTGTTTTGGGGCCATCACATAACGCAACAGAAAAAGAATGATGCCATAAGGAAAGGCGTCTATGGCGAGAGTGGATTTTTGGAATCCGGGTGTATTGGAGGATCTTATTTTAAATACTTTGAAAATCACATTTAAGGTTTCATTTTGTTTTTGAAAAACAATTCAATGTGATCATATGGATGTATACTACACATGTGTAAAGTTTGGTGATGAATAAGTGAAGTAAATATGCGACCTATACAAAAATGACAAAATGATGATTTCCAAATAGTGAACGACATATGTAACTTCCGAACGTTCTGGATTTAACAACAGGTCCGAACGACTTGCTTGTTATCCAACCAGTAGATCCGTTTCTCACGCGTTGTCGCGAACCAACAACCGACTGCGTGATATACCGGTGCACTTTTTTTAAGGAACAATGCCTTGTATTTGATGACCAATTTTTAGAGAAACTAGCAAACATGCCCGTGCGTTGCAACGGGAGTAAAAAAAATTACACGCTAGCCCAATAAGTATGACTCAATACCCTGACATATGAGTGTCCTTTATTTTAACACGATGACTCATCATGTTGCCAATTATCTTCTCACTCTCGTTGATGATATCCACGTGATCGCAATGCATTCGACGTGGTAAATCCCAAGGCAATGAGCTTGCCGCAGCACGACACAGTTGTCGTTGTCTCGCGCAAGGGAATGTTTAAACTTCTAAAAACAAATCTCATCAATCACGAACTACTCCCAATGCCTAGACATATAAAGAATTTCCAAAAACTAATCAAATCCTAGACATAAAATACATCAGAATCCGCTAACAGTTTTTCGAATCGATAAACATTTTTTAAAAAATTGGGCATTTTTTCAAAACATTCACGAACATTTGTCTTTTAGACGAACATCTATTGAAATGCATGAATAGTTTCAAATTCATTACCATTTTTTGGACTCAGCAATAATTTTTTGAATCAATGAACTTTTTTAAAATAGGGGAACGAATTCTGAATTTCACCAATTTTTTTTGAATATTTTCCAAATTTCATGGACATTTTTTTTTCAGATTCACGAACATGTTTTGAATACACGATCATTTTATCAAAATCATGAACTTAATTTTATTTCACAACATATGTTTTGCAAATTGTGATTTTTTATAATTTGCAAAAGGTTTTAATAAGGAAAGAAAAATAAGGGGGGTGGCATGTACACGGATTACTACAGGAAGGAAGGAAATATGAAGGCATGAAAGGAATGACATGTACTATACGGGTTATTGGAAGCAAAAAAATGGAGAATCCCAAACAGATAGAGACTGATATGAGTGGTAAATTCCCCCGCAAAAAAATAATATATGAGTGAGTGGTAAATTTGTTTTTAGTGTTCTATAAAATCATATGTTTGTATGGAACACACATATTCTTTATGCTATGTCTCTTCTTGATCCTTTCTAAATTATGAACGGTTTTGTACAACTTGGTTGTACTCACCAAAACCAAATGCCGAATGTTTCAGTTTGTGATATTAAGGTTCACAAAAGATGAAAATGAGAGTATATCATATTTAGGCGGATGTGTCATTGGCGGTGGGATCCACCATGTCTCCATGACCACACGAAGAAGAGTGATTTAAAAAAAAGAAAATCAACAATACTATGTGTTGTGCATATGGATACAAAGAGTATATGGTTACGATATTGAGGTTAATCAGCTAAAATATTTATGCACCCATTGCAACGCACGACCCTTTTCTTAGTTATTAGGCAAAGAAGGAAGACACGGACACCCAAAAAAAATACAATAAATGCATCATTCACACACCTTTCAGATTTTTTTTTGTCGTGTCTAATCGAATAAATTAGCATAATCCTCATTTAATAAGGGTGCGAGTCCTCCTCGCATGTCCTGTTTAATCCCACAAATTAGCGTGCGGTTTCCTACATATTACTATTGACGTCAATTAACATGCATCATGTAAGTGTATACAATATTCCCCATCATGCCAGGGCTCTCTCGTTAACTCATTATTTCACACCCTTATTCAGCCCATAATTAAGGCATCTTTAATCCTCCGTTTTAATGTCATGTAGCATCCTATAGGCTCGTTTATAATCCTATACATAGTCATGCATGCCCACAAGTTATACTTATGTGTTGATTCCCTAGTTCGCTCATTGCCATGCAACTCGCGGCCGTATATGAATTGATGGAATCTGACGTAAGGAGCCGGGGTGGGACTATTAAATTGGGAAAACATGTGCATTATCTATCCGTAATACTTTTCCTGAAGCCCTCTATTCTAATTACAAATAGATGCTTAGCCTAGTTGGTAACTGTGGCTCTAATGGTGCAGGAGATCTGGAGTTCGATTCTTCACATTATTGGTAATTATTATTTTTCCTCATTTTACTGCAGTAAGCCCACTTGCCCGTCTACCTCAAGGCCCATGAGGCTAGCGCAACAGCTACTTGGCCCAGTACGGGAGGTTAGCGACGTCTGTTCCTCCCGCATGATCCTTTTTGTTTTTTTCTAGTAAAAAATAGTACCACCTCATCAGAGTTAAAAATTTGAAAAATATAATACGGGTGAACGGATGAAAGAAGTGGAGAAACTCACCTTGCTTTATTAGTAGGTATAGATATAGATAGATAAATGTTTCACTTCCTATTGAATTTTAACTCCAGTCGTCGTCTCGTGTGTCACCCGAGAAAAAAAGGTTTGTTTTGAGACATATTCCGGTAGTTTTCTATGTAAAAAAACATGATAACTGACATACCGCAAACCTGATAACACACATACAAACACTGTGGTAATTTTTTTGACCTGGATTTTCTTTTGTTGAAAACATACCCTCGGTAATTTTTGTGTAACTATTGTGATAATATACGCACCGCGCACCCGATAACCCCGATAACTTACGTACCAACATCATGGTAATTTTTGACCCAACAAGAAAAGGTTGTTGAAACATACCCCTTGATAAGTATGGTAAATTACGCACCGCAGAGTTGATAACTCACACATGAACACTATGATAACTTTCGACTCGGAGAAAAGTTTTTGAAAACATACTCTCGATAACTTCTGTGCAAACTAAATGGTAATATACGCATTGCAGACATGATAAGTTATGCACAATCACCATACTAACTTTCGACCTATTGTATAAAGTTGTTGAACTATACCTCCGATAAGTTTTGGGTAAGTAGTGTGGTTATTTATGTACCGCAGACCTCGTACAAACGCGATAACTTATGTGTAAATCACATGATAATATACTCACCGCATACTTGATAACTTAGACAAAGACACCATGATAACTTCTAGCCGGTGAAAAAAGTTGTTGAAATACATACACCGATAACTTATGTATAAATAGCATGATAATATACATATTACAGAGATGATAGCTCACGCACAAACACCGTAATACCCTTTTTAAACGGAAAAAGGTTGTTGAGAAATATATTCCGTTAACTTGTGTGTAAGTAGTATGGTAATATACACATACAAGCCACGGTAACTTTATGACTCGAGGAAAAAAAGGTGAAATACACACCCGGTAACTTCGTAACTTCTATGTAAATAGCATGATAATATATGCACAACACAGCCGATAACTCATGTACAAACACCACGGCCCGACAAGCGTAAATGGGCCTGGCTCGGCACGAGCCGCAAAGTTCCGTTTATAAGCGAGCCATGCTGCGTTGGCATGTGGACCTCACCCGACCTAGACACGACATCGATAGTAGACGGTGGTATTGCATACTGATAATTCTACTTACAAATCGTGTGGTATCATTCGACTCATGCAAAAACAATAGTTGAACATACCCTGATAATTTCATTGTAAACAACATGATAAGTTCTATATTGTAGGCGAGATAGTTTACATAGTCCAGACGTGGTAACTTTTGATCTGAAAAAAAAAGTCATCGAAACATACCAACATGAGATCTAGTTTCGAATGTCTCGTCGCGACAAATCTTTTATGTGAAGACAACTTTTCAATCCGGACGATGGTTTGAGCTACAAAACATTTTAAATTCTCAGTTTTTGAAAAGAATTTGATGACATCATCAATTTTGTTTTTTCTTGCATGCATCTAATTAGGAGCTTCCTAACCTTCGCATGCATGCAAACTATAGCAGAGGCGTTTGATTTTGTTCGGGGCACCAAGATGTCACTTGCAACGTGGACAATAGATTAGCGATCGCTGAAAATCATGTGCGTGAAGAGATGGAACATCGTTCGGATCTATTCCTATAATCAGAATGTTTGGAAGATATAGCAGTCCAATAGTGAATAACATGCATTGTTCATCTTTCCAAAATCACGATTTTGTCATTTTTGTGTAACTCACA